CAAGAGTGTCTTAAACCAAGTAAAGAAATTCTATTTTACTTTATTCTTTCATGGCTAATTGGGTTATTTTGCTTAGTAGGGTTTCAGCACATCAATTTCAATTGTTCCAGTTCAAAACTCCTTCCCGCCTACCATGAGGCTGGTAACACTCGTGATCTCTAGCCAGCTCTGAACACAGGGGGGAAAGGCCTGCACAGGCTCAATAGGGCTGGAATCTACTGGACTCCTTGACCACTACAAAGCTTCATATTATATACTAAACCAGTTTTAGCACCGCATTTTATAGCTATATGCATTATACTTACTTTCCTACCTTCCCCACAATGGGGAAATGTTTTTACTTCAAACTGCTGATTAGCAACTTTCAAACCACAACCAAGCAGTTAAGAACTATCAGTAGAATTCTGGTTAAATCATATATGTGAACACTAACAGTCTTAGTACCCTAATGGATTTTATCTAACCATAACAAATCTTAAAAATACCACTAAATAAGTCACATGTCGATAGATATAATAAATTCCCCCATAGTAATGCCAAGTGGTCAAAACTGCCATGGGGCCCTAATTTTAGGGATCCCAAACTTTATTTCTTCCCTTTAGCTGTCAGTTTGTTGTACTAAGAGAGCTTGTGTGTGGCTGTGATGCTGGAAGCCAGCCCCCAGTATGGTAAGTACCAGCAGGGTCATTCAAGGTGAACAGGTTCCAGCAGAGCCTCCAGACTAATAACAAATTAGAAAGAAAGGAAAAAACTGTCTACTTTTGAGGGATTAGCCTCTGATATTTTTGTGAAACCTCGCAAAACATTGTCAGATGAAGTACGAACATCAGATGGATCGACACTGTAAGCACAGCAATGGGACCAACACAACAATGACTGTGAAGAGAGTCCAAGATCCTGGCGGGAGGCTTCCTGTTGGGCACAGGGAAGCTGTGAGTCGGAACAGACCCAAGGGTCCCTAACAGCTACAAACTTGATTTAATAGTACTTCCTTTTTCCCAAAGACAACTTCAGAAAGAAGAGCCTTTCGGCTTTGCCAGTCTCAGGGTAAGAATAGAGTGTAAGACTCCTTTTTCAGAAGGCCCACTGATGAGGCCGGAGTCATCAGTGAACTAAACACCATGCAGGCAGATAAAGGGTCTGTGGTTACCGCTCAGTCGCAAGTAAACTCCAAAAGCATCTATCACCAGTCATAACTAACTGAAAACCTAATTTGATGATGAGCCTCATCCTTAAGCCCAGGTACTTTCCTCAAATAAATCAGATATCAAAATGGCAATTTTGCCAAGACGTTGACCAAAAGTTCTATTTTTGTTAGATGTATTCCAGATTCAGCAACTGCTACTCATGATCATTAGTATCAAATGTAGTTGTTCTAACTAACATGAAAGTCAAAGTCAGACACACTCCAGTTGTCACTATTCAGGTCTCTCTCCTGCCCAAGTTTCCTGGTCTGGCTGATAAGACTCTACAAGCTGGCTTCCACTTTTCTTTCTCCCTCTGCTGCTGTTACTTTTCACCATCCAGGGTTGTGCTCACTGCACATAGCCGGGCCATTCCAGGCTTCTGTGCATGTGTGCTGTGCTGACTCCCATCCGCTACCACAATCAACCGAATGACTTCTTTAGACTCATTCTTCAAGATTCAACCCAGGTGCCATGTTCTCCAGCAAGTTGTCCATCCCCGCCCCCCCAGATTTGACTAGGTGCAGCCTGCCGTATGATCCCGCAGCACTTTGTGCACAGTTAAACCCGAGCTCTAACCACTATGTGTGGATAATGTAACATAAACCATCTACCCTGCTGCACTCAACTTCTTTGAGGGGAGGCACCAAATTTATTCATGCTTGTAGCCATGGCACCAGCACACTTCTGGTTATATGATGCTATTCAATACAATGGAGTCCATTCTGACCCATAGTGACCCTACGTACAACAGAATGAAACATTGATAGTTCAGTGCCACCCTCACAATTGTGGCTATGTCCGAGAACATTGCAGCAGCCATTATGTCAATCCATCTCAATGAGTATCTTCATCTTTTTTTTTTCTGACCCTCCCTGGTGGGAGCAGTGAATTATGTGGCTCTTCTAGTCCAAGTCTCTAACTCCCACCAACTTTTTCTTGTGTGAATCTGATAAGAAGGTAGGAGAAGATACTAATAGCATTCACCTGTGAGTTACTGAGAACCCAATTCTCTGGAATGCCGTCCTGCTGCATATAACAGGAGTCCTCTGAGATGTAGGAGAAGGAATCTCCTTACCAGCAAGGTTTAGGAATAGAATGTGTCCTCTGGACCCTGCTCAGTGAAACTTCTGGATCCAGAAGACAGCTATTCCATCAGAGCAGCAGCAGCAGAGCCAAGAGCCAGAGCCGGGACCAGAATAATGTACTCCCCAACCCACAAAGCAAATACAGCTGTGTGTGCAGGAGGCTGGCTTCTGAAGTGGGGTGCCTCTGAGGCCTTAATCGGCAGAACTGGGCTTGATGCCCACAGAGCTTGAGCAGAAGGCCTTTGGGTTGAGACTTACAGTGGAGTAGCATGTCCTTCGGGCATTTATTGGCAATCCTGAAAGAACTTTGCAACATGTCCTGATGAATAACTATCCCGAGCATTTATCACTTGCATTACAACCTGTTATTTTCCTTAATGAACCTTTCAATCATGAATTTGCCTGTGAGTTCTGTGTAGCCATTTCAACGGATATTGGAACCTACAGATAAAGTAGAAAATACCAGTGGAAACATACCTTCTACTTCGATAAGATCCACTAGGCCCCAGTACTCTTCATTGGATGGAAATGAAAAATGTTTACAAGCAAATTGGTTTAAAATGTCACTAGAGTAACTGTTTTGTGTTCTGGCCCCGAAGAAACAGGTACACTGAGACACTCAGAGACAACATGATTCAGAAAAGGAACATAATGAACATTTAAAAACTGGATGTCTTTCGATGATGATGCTATTACACAGCCCATGTTATGCCTATGATGTGACCTTATTTGGCAACAGGGTTTTTGAAGATGTTATT